AATGCCCAATATTTCCAACTTCTCGAGACCGAGGCTCGCTTGCACCAGTCGCTGGGAAACAAGAACTGTGAGTGAGTCAGGTAGGTGGTCTCGAAATATTTCCAGCTGTGGAGGTTTCATCGAAATTTGTGTAACGAGGCGCCTGGATAATTCGGCGGGGTGGAAATTCAACCAACAGGTCTAACATGACTTGGGAAGGAGGCTCGACTGAAGGCGCAATGTTCAGTCTTGAAGATGTAGTTTGTCGGAGAGGTTCCGAAGCGTTGGGATTTTCGTCATCGAAGGAAATCAAATCATGCGACGTGGCAACCTCTTCAGACACACGGTTTATCCGGGGATTGTTGGTGTCAAGAAGGCTTTGGTGTTCCTGGTGAACGTCAGCTCGTGACTGCGATTCAATGGCGGTGCCACTTCGGGCCAACTCAAGCCGATTGAATAGCTCAGCGCACCGTTCAGCAAGTTCTCGCCTTGTCTCTCGCTCATCGTGTGAAATACAATGAAGCCTGTCGAGACAAGCGTCGGTGTGGCTCAACAGGGTGAAAATTCTCCGAAATTCGCTATCTGCGTTCTCATGGTCAAAATTTGTGATTTCTCGCGCCAAAGCTGCAAGTTTGCCTTGACAAATGCTAAGTTCGCTGTCGCTGTCGAAGCAAGAATTTGTTGGAGCCGAAGACTGACCCTCGCGCTCACGGCGCAGAGCGTCACGTAATGCCGTTCGTTTTTGTGGAAAGGTGCCAGTAATGGGCAATCCGCGAATAGCCAATTCATATTTGACTTCCTCAGCACCCAACAGATTTATTTCCATCTTGACAGGGAAAAGAAAAAACAATAAAAAAAATAACGAAACGCCAAGAGGAAATTCGTAAATCCAATTAAAAGTATTGGTAGGTACTTTTAACAAAATACAAAAAAAAAACCAAAAGAAACCCGACCTGTAGCAAAGCAAAAAAAAAAAAAAACAATTAAAAAAAAAATGAATCGACCGAGGGGTTGTGAAAAGAAAAAGAAAAAAAATATATTTACATATAGTGAGGAAGATATAGAAGAGAAAGAAATTACCCTAATCCTGCTAGAATGGCGAAGGTAGAAATTAAATCAACAAGAGATATCGCAAAATCCCAAAAAAAAAATTTAAATAATAAACAAAAAAATACCATTTATTGGGCGCCAATTTATTATATTTGTTACCCGCAAAACGTAAGGGAGAAGTTAATGATAAGATTTGAGGAAGTGAGACAGTGAATAGGAAACTAAAACAAAAAAAAATAAAAAGAGAAGAGAGAGGATTGGTTGGTGGCTGAAATCTAGAAACGTGATTTCGTGTAAAGGGTTGCCGACTAGCTTCCAATGCGGAGAGGGGGTGGGTTAATTAAATAACTAAATATAGAGCGCCACCTGCTTTTTCCCTGCAGTACACGAAATCAACCGATATAACGAAAGCAGGAAACTTCTATGGAACTATAGCAGCACAACCTGAAATATAAACAAGAAGGAGAATTACAATAAATTAACTCGAGTCCCTTAAAGTAAAGAGTACCGTACAACAGCAATAATACCTGAAATATAAATGATCAATAGACAAGCTTACTAAATGCAGTACCTTCGTAAATGGCCATTTAACCCCAGTGTACAAGTATTTACCCATATTCAGTGCAGCATTAATCAAAGTTGAAGTAACAATACGTAACCTGAAGGGCTTTAATATTATGTTACAATATAGGTAGTATAGATACCTAGATACCTAATAAAATTGAAGTACCTAACAATACCCAACCTGAATGGTAAATTTCATATACTAAAGGTAAGATATATAATTGATTAAAACTGAAATAATAACATCTAATCTGAAGGATAATTTTAATATAGTAGAACTGCGTTGTTGTGGTGATTTACTCCAACAAGGGGTTGGTAAGGTTTGATATTAAGACAATACAACACACTTATCAAACCTGAGTAGTCCCTAAACTCTTGGGGGAACCTAACGGATGGAACTAATATCTTCCAGTGTTTCCGATGGCCTGGGTCTGGATCAAGGCCGCAACAAGAAGCCACTGGCCCTAGGCACTGAAGTTCAGCAATTAGGAGTCACTAAAGCTTCCAATGGTCTAGAGGAGGCTGAAGATTGGAGGTACTACTTGAAATACACAGTAAGCTCAACGTTTAACTCTTTACTCAAGTTAAGGACTAAGCGTGACGAATAAAAGGTGACGATTAAAACGTAACGTTTAAGACTGAAGATTAAAGGCCTCAAACAAATGGACGTTATGAGACAGGGCGTGGAGCAATAGAGGTAGATATTCGGAATTTAATCGTATAATTAACAGAAAACTATGCTTTTACATAGGAAATAGAGAAACACAGAGAAGATTTATAAGAAAAACCACTTACCAAAATTACTTTGGCCTTTAGGAACGAACAATTGGTCACGTTGCTCTTTTTCGACTCACAAAAAAAATCCGCACAAGGCGATTGGGTGCTAAAATAACGGATTAGCCACCCTAGATCTATGAGCGAAAACTAGACAACTCAGAAAATCGGCAAAATGTGCCTGAGGAATTTTCCCGAACACTTAATCGTGAAAAGTCCTCGACCTGAATGACCTCTGCTTGTCCCTGCAATGTCCTTTAAAAAGTCTCTGTCAAAACTCCAAGGTGGAAGGTTCTGGGGATTTTGATGGTAGTTGGGGCATGGGACTTATTCAAGTTAAGTTAGTACCGGTCATTGACTCTATTTGGAGCGCTGTCAATCTAGACAATCTACTCGGATCAGACAATCAGCTGTTCTAGTGTAAATATTGTGATTGAGATAACTTAATGATTCTGGGAAAAATTAAAAGTTTGATGAAAAGTTTGGCCACAACTATTGAAAAAACAACAGTGGCTTGACGAAGGTATGCTATTCATTGGGGCGAATACGCTTATTTCCTTTCATTTTAACCCAGGAAAAATCATCCCGTAACAGTAAGGTAGTTGGTTATTTAGTTCTTTTTCTATTGTGAATTGTATAGTTGTTTCTTGTGTATATGTATATGTGTTGAAGAAAGTTATTTAGGTCGTTTTCATTGTGAGTGTAAATTGAAGATATTTCGTCTATGTAACGCCACCAAATAATGGATTTCAAGCTATAATTCTCGATATTATTAATTTCCAGTCAAGTCTCCCAGAGAAATATTACTTAAAAAAAGGTGATAAAGGTGAACCCATCGCCATACCAGAAACTTGTTGGTAATAGTTTTTTCAATGGAACACCCGGTATATTATATAATATATACCTAATATTATTAACAAACACATATTATGTGTTTGACAGAAGATCTTCTTCCGATTATAAAGATATAACACCCTTCATATTTTAGTCCACTCGTTTTTGAAACATCGGCAAAAATATGAAGTTTTTATATACACTCTCAATAACTCTCGCTCCAAATATCAGACCCCCGCCTAATAAGTTCCACTTCAGAAGTTTGATATATTTTGGCCAATTTGTCAACGAGTGGACTAAAATATAGAGTGTGTTATATCATTGTAAGCGGGATGAGATATTTTTTCTACTGAATTTTCATAATACGCCTAAAATTTGTTACATAATGAACTTCATTATGATACAGATTTTCATTATGATACAGATTTTTCAGCAACTGGAATCCAGTATTTTGAACATGAACAATATTTATATAAAAATAACAGACTTGCTTTGGAATTTTGGATTGTTTCTATTAGTATTTAGGTACCAGAAGAAACAACAAAAAATCAATAAATCGGGTGCGGAATTTATGCCCAAATGACGTCTAAGATCTTCATTTTTGAAATTTCAGAGAATTGATAGTGTTTTGTTTTCAAGGGAACTTGAAAAAAAACTTGGCTGCTAACCCTACATTTTGTTTTTTTGTTTATTTTGATATATTCAAAACAAAAAAGTTACAGGGAATTGAAATGTTATCAAGATAAATTGAACGTACGGTACCCATAGCATTGTTAAATCTTTTTATCAGATATATATTATTAAATGCCTATAAATATAATTAGATATTTGGGAGTAAAATTATTTAAAAAAAAAAAGACCATGTATGATGAGTAAGGACAGTAAAGTGCATTCGTTTTTTGTTTTTTGCAGAATATTTGCTAAAGAAATAAGAGGCATGTTTTAAAATTTTATCACAATAGAATGGAGCTGGTGCTTACCAACTTATATAATTAGTTATTCCTTGCATGCTGTTCAACCTAAAGAAAGGAATGGTGCATGTGAATGTATTGTCTAAATTGAAACAAATGCGCTTGCAATAAATAAGAGTTTTAGTTCAAATAAATTATTTTAACTGTTCTATATATAAATCTATTTTTTATAAAGGTTTTGATAATTATAATAATCTATAAAAATTTCCAAAAGCGCAAGTCATAAACCAATTTTTAACCTGTACTAACTAAATCATTGATAAAAAATTGAATCATCTGATGAATTTCAATTATACAATTTCTATGTATTGGATTCTGTTTTCGCAGTCGTTGCAGTTTGGCCAACAACGCCCGGCAGCTTTACCATAATATCATAATATTATGTGGTCTCTTCCGAGTCACCTTGGGAGGAATTTTGTCTCATCGAGTTCCATCTTCACCTAAGATGAACAGCGCACCCCTAGTTTTGCGGAAATTCCAAATTTCCAAGTAAAGATACGACCATGTAATTTTGGGAATGTAATTAGTGTAGGCAAAGTTTGTGTAGGGTACCTAAGGTAAGGACTACTACAAGCCATAATATTATAGGGTTTTTCCTTTTTGATTTATTTGCTAAAATAATAGCCATGTATCGCTCAGGTACACGTGCGACTAATGGAAGGTAAAAAACAATTAATGAGAAATCGGAATTGCGATGCATTTTAATTCATATTTTTAATGAAAACATAACTGGCTTTTCAATAGCTTAAATTCAATAGACGCAATTAGAAGTGGGTAATAACCATAGAGTCAAGGCCTTTTATTATGTTTAAATAGGTTTCCTTCTTAGGAAAACGAAAGTAATCTTGACAGAATACTGCATTAAACAAAACTACACAAATATATGCAATTTTTCAGAAGATTCCCATTGAATTTTCAACAAAAGTAAGTAGGTATGTATTATTTGAGTTCAACTATTCCATTTTTAGCTGAGTTTTAGGAGAATGTTTTCTTCAAGAACAACTCATGAAGTACTCCCATTTGGAGAGCTAATAGATGATTGGTGGAATCTTCAGGGTCCGGCAAAGCCCCTACATGCTATGAACAATTTGAGAGTGCCTTTAGTAAAAAATGGGTTGATTAATCAAGGAGCTGTATCAAAAGAGAATATTAATAGCTCGAAACCGCTTGAAGGGTTGTCCATATTAGATGTTGGATGTGGCGGTAAGAAAATCAATTTCCTAGAGATGCCTTTATTAGAATTCAACTTTTTCTAGGTGGTATTTTGTCAGAAGCTCTAGCACTTCTAGGAGCAAAAGTTACAGGCATTGATTCACATCCCAAAGCCATCGAGCTTGCAAAATATCATGCCCAACAAAATAATCTATCCATTGATTATTGTTCTAGCTCTATTGAGGAATATGCTAGGAAAAATTTGGAAAAGTTTGATGCTGTAGTTGCTTCTGAAGTTATTGGTAATGATATCTGGAACTAATAAAAATCCGTATATTACTTAGATTTTTTAGAGCATGTGACAGATAAAGTGCAATTTATAGAAGCTTGTGAAAAATCTCTAAAACCTGCTGGCTCCATATTTCTGACTACATTGAGCAAAACTATATTTACGAAAATTATTGCAATTTATTTAACTGAAAATGTTTTCAACAAGGTTTTCGATTTGCTTCCCAAAGGCACCCATCAAATTGGGGATTGCATTAAACCTGAGCAATTGCAAAAATTATTAGAAAACCGTAATTTTGTGCTTTATTCATTTGCAGTTGAACTTATCATTTTTCTTTACAGATTATTTGCATACTAAAGAAATAAGAGGCATGATCTATAATGCTTTTACAAGTAAATGGACCTGGTGCCGTCCAACTTGCATGTTTTATTCTTTGCACGCTGTTAAACCTAAAAGTATAGGTAGTGTCAAAGAATGTAGTGCTTTGTAGGAATTTTCTCCTTAATTGAATTCATATTTTACTCACAATAGACTTTTCGTATTGTTGGAAAATTGTTTTTTCTGCAACTGTCAAAAAATGATGATGTTCGCACACTCATGACAGTTTGCGAAGTGACACTTTTTTTCCCAGGTATTGATTTTTTAACGTTCCCATGACGCCATGCGCGAAATAGCTGTTTGCACACTGGGTGTCATGGTGACACATACCTGTCAGGAAATCAAAAATAATTAAAATTCACTTAGCTTTGATTGGAAATGCAATTTTAGCTTCGAATGATTGATATTTAAATGGAGTTGTAGAAAAAATATTGTTTGCAACTCGGGCGCGAAATACTTTGGTGATCTCGACTATTTTTTTAACTATCACCAAAGTAGCATTTCGCGCCTTTGATACAAAAATAACTATTTTCTATTTTGGTGTCATATCGAAGTCTTTTCGACACTAAAAGTAGTTTCGAAAAGAAGCTCTTTGTGACACTCCTTTTTTACTTTTCGCAGGTTGGTAACACTGGCTGACTGATGACCATCGAACTATCATTCGCGATAAAAAATAATAGAAGATTTCTATATTTGGCATGTAGTGTTACCAACCTAAACATATGAAATCAGGAAATATGAGAATAAAATGTCCAAGAAAAGTTTTTTTTTTTAATTAAACAATACCAAAATAGAAAAAATAGTATAAAATATTCGTTTCATAAGACATTTTATCGCACTCGCCCTTTAGAAAACTCGCCTCCGGCTCGTTTTCTAATATAGGGCTCGTGCGATAAAATGACGTCTTATGAAACTTGTATTTTAATGTACTATTTTCTATTTTGGTGTCATATCGAAGTCTTTTCGACACTAAAAGTAGTTTCGAAAGGAAGCTCTTTGTGACACTCCTTTTTTACTTATCGGAGGTTGGTTACACTGGCTGACTGATGGCCATCGAACTGTCATTCGCGATTTTTTAATAGAAGATTTCTATATTTGGCATCCAGTGTTACCAACCTAAACATATGAAATCAGGAAGTATGATAATAAAATTTCCAAGAAAAATTTGTTTTATTTAATTAAACAATACCAAAATAGAAAAAATAGTACAAAATATTCGTTTCATAAGACGGCACTCGCCCTTTAGAAAACTCGCCTACGGGTCGTTTTCTAATATAGGGCTCGTGCGATAAAATGCCGTCTTATGAAACTTGTATTTTAATGTACTATTTTTCAAATAAATATATCAAATGAAATCATAATTGGTTTTTTAATAGCTTTATATAAACTCAACCGAAAATGAATTGGGACAGTTGAAAATATCACTATATTTCGAACGCTGTAACTTTTATAATTTCATTCCGATGGTGAATCTCAAACCAGTGTTAAGAAGCCCATACTTTATACTTTTTTCAGTGGCGACGGATCCGCTTTTGACCGAAGCTTTCTTATATACAGGGAGCTGATTTTGTCAGCATGCAAAATTTGAGAAATTCGTCGGAGAATCTGGAAATAATGACGCATAGTAGAATGATTTTTCATGTATAGGTTGGATCACTAGATGGATATCTCTACACTTTATTTTTTCTCAAGATAGATTTTGACATTGAAAACTTTGAAACATAAACAATAACGCTTGACCCTGATTGGTCGCAAAATGAGGTGTTTCTGCAGGTTGACATCAGTGGCATTAGCGGCATTGCTTATGTTTCAAAGTTGACAATGCCAAAATCTATCTTGGAAAAAAATTAAGTGAGACGTTTTTGCAATTTTAATGATATCTTGCATTGCTATGGAAATATAGCTGTTTTTGTCAAATATGATTTTTTTCTCAAATTTCTTTATTCAACCAGGAGAACGAGGAGAAAAACATGGAGGAATTGGGCAGAAATAGGACCAAAATAAAACCCTTCACTTCCATGCTTGCGTATGGAGGCTTACATTTTAGGAAATAGGTATGTTTTAACACAAAGTAGGACACTGAACATGCAGACGCTGGACGGCGTTCTGTTTCTATTTGTGGAGGAGGACTGCGAATGTAAACAAATTTCAAATGTGTGACACTACGGCACTGATATTCGAACGTATTGTGACAGTGGCGATTGGATTCACATTGAATTGTATGGAAGATACAAACGCTGAACGGCGTCGTGTCATTTTCAACCATCAATCTGAAGAAGCATATCAGCGTTGTGTCACATCACAACTTCAGGAAACGACGCTGATCTGCGTCTCTGTCCTTCAACGTGTTAAATTTATTTTGATACATGATTAGGGAGTTAAACACCGGTGGTGGAGGCGGTAAGGGGGGAAGGGGTAGAAATAAGTAGCAGTGGCTTGCAAGAAGGAGTTTAATTTCTTTATTACTAACAAATTATTAGTTTTTGTTTATCTACCTATTCTTCTAATTTTTTTTTGTTTTTTAGCATTGTTACTCTATTTGTTTAATGTTCGTATTAAAGAAATTGAACCCCCGTCTTGCACGTCACTGGCTAGTTATTTCTATCCCCCCCCCACCCACTGTTATTTAAATGCCTTACTTCCTTATCATGGATCAAAATAAATTTAAAACATACCTATGCATATTTCCTAAAAATTTCTTAAAATGTAAGCCTCCATAGTCCATACGCACGCTACTGGTAGGGACCTACTGGAAGTGAAGGGTTTTATTTTTGTCCTATTTCTGCCCAATTCATCCATATTTTCCTCCTCCTCCTCCTCCTGATTGAATAAAGAAATTTAAGGAAAAAATCATATTTGACAAAAACAGCTATATTTCCAAGATATCATAAAAATTGCAAAAACGTCTAGAGGTGTCCTTCTAGTGATCCACCCTTTACATAAAAAATCATTTTACTATGCGTCATTATTTCCATGTTTTTCGATGTTTTTCTCAAATTTTGCATTCTGACAAATTCAGCACCCTGTATATAAGAAGGCTTGGGTCAAAAGCGGATACGTCACCACTGAAAAAAGTATAAAGTTAGGGCTTCTCAACACTGGTTTGAGATTCACCATCGGAATGAAATTACAAAATTTACAGCTTTCCAAATATAGTGATATTTTGAGGTGTTCCATTTCATTTTCGGCTGAGTTTATATTGTTTTGAAGTCAATTATTCTCATAGGGTACCTAAAGTCTTTTTTATATCTAAACAATATTGTCGCGTTCGCCAGCATATCACGAACTTACGCTTTCGCCACGGTATCCAGAATACATGCCGAAATGCCAGCTTATTCGGGCATCGAATTATCAATAGTAATATAACTAGTGCAATGGAAATTATTGATAATTTTTGGGAAATTTGCCCGAATGCATTTTTAGTTGAAAAAAAGCACGAGTGCACGAAGTGCACGAGTGCCTTTTTCAGTTAAAAAGGCATGAGTGCAAATTTGTCGAAAATTATAAATATATTTAATGAGAGAATTTCATAAATCAAAAATTCAAATTTTTTGTCAAAAAATGTCAAAATACCAGTTTTCACACCAGTTACTATGCAATTATCTGATAATTTGCACTAGTGCAAATTATCGCGTAATTCCAATTTGATTGGTTCAAATCAACAATCAAAACATGTCAGTTTATTGTTGAAATACCAGTTTTGACAGATGCATGAAATTCTCGCGGTTATTATGGATTTTTCATGAATAGATTTACGGTTTGTATAAATGCCGCTGGTATTTAGTAGTTTTAGGTTTAAGTTTGACTGTAATATGAGTTAGATAGTGATTAATGTTAATAGTTGTAGGTAAAGAGTTTAATTGTTGAGCTAGTAATTAGTGTCAGAGTTTATATTTATTTATTTATTTATTTATTTATTTAGTTATTTTTTTTTTTTTTTTTTTGCTTTCTAATCAGAAACCACCACTGTGGTTTGTCGACAAAGCCTCGAACATCACATACAAACCAAATCAAACAAACAAACAAACATCCATGCACCTAGCCGGGATTCGAACCCGAGACCCACTGCATGCAAAGCGAAGACACAACCGCTGAGCTGCTTGGGTCTGCATAGTGGAATAAAATTTTTGCTGTGTTAAGTAATTGGACTTTGATTTTGGAAATAAACGAACACAAGATTTCTGTCACGCACTCCAAAGCCGTGACATTGGTGTCACACGTGTAGAACGCTCCAAGAACGTCATCAATTTGCTGTGCAATATTTCGCCTGTTCCCAACAGTTCCGGAGTGGAAAGTGTCAATGGAGTTGAAAGGATTGACACCAATGTTGACACCGACCATTGATATCGATATATCAATGATTATTTATGTAATCCATAGCAACGAATTGTGTTTATTTTAGTCAGTTGTTATTAGTTAGTAAACGGTATGTGCCCAGCTGACATATTAGATGGTAATAATTACCTATCCCAACCTCATGTGGCTTTTCATAAAAACGGTAGTGAAATAAAATTCAGTACGTGTTCAGATATTGCGCACATAAATAATATTAAATTTTCAAAACCATTATCTGAAAATAACATATCTTGTGACTTAAATCATAGTACTGCGATCTTGGAACTCTTAAATAAATATCGCAAATGTGTGGCACTCGATCTGAGTGAAATGGGTAAAACAAATCGCGTTGAAATGAAAATTGAGTTAATGAGTTCAAACACTGTTTGCTACAACCCATATAGATTACCGGAAAATCAAAGAAATGCATTAAAAGACATTGTATCAGATTTACTACAAAACAATATAATTCGTGAATCAACCTCTCCCTATGCCAGTCCTGTTATTCTAGTGCCAAAGCTTGCTTTGCAGACGATGGCAATACCGGGTGGTCCTCCGGGAATGACATCGATTGCTTATGGGAAAACTGTGAAAGGTAAAAATTTGAAAATTTGGCAACATAGCAATGTCGATGGGGGACATCTAGGGAAAATATTTTCAAGATGGCGGCATTTCCGGTCATACCGGAAGTTGATACCAACTCGGTTATTTTAAATAGAACACCCCATATATTAATGTATTTTTGGATTCTACATAAAATTCTGAGCAGATTTCATGTAATATACCCTATACCTAAGTTCAACTGTTTTGGAAATATTGACAGTTGAAAATTGACTTTTTGCAACTTTGACAAGCTGTAAAACCTAATTGGTTAATTTTAGAGGAAAACCGATTTCACATTCCTATCTTAGATTTTGATAAACTATCATTTGACACCAACTTTGAACTTAAACGGAGATTAAATTTAACTGAAATTTTTAATCATGGATTTAATTCAAAGTTGATGTCAAATGATAGTTTATAAAAATCTAAGATAGGAATGTGAAATCGGTTTTCCTCTAAAATTAACCAATTAGGTTTTACAGCTTGTCAAAGTTGCAAAAAGTCAATTTTCAACTGTCAATATTTCCAAAACAGTTGAACTTAGGTATAGGGTATATTACATGAAATCTGCTCAGAATTTTATGTAGAATCCAAAAATACATTAATATATGGGGTGTTCTATTTAAAATAACCGAGTTGGTATCAACTTCCGGTATGACCGGAAATGCCGCCATCTTGAAAATATTTTACCTAGATGTCCCCCATCGACATTGCTATGTTGCCAAATTTTCAAATTTTTACCTTTCACAGTTTTCCCATAAGCAATCGATGTCATTCCCGAAGGACCACCCTGTATAGTCTCCTCACTCATACCACCCACAGGTCTTTCCGCACGAGAATTCCATCATCTTAGACTAACTCAAATATCGCAGATAAATAACGACCTGGAGATAATAGAAGACTGGGGTAACAAAAACCTTGTACAGTTCAACGCGCAGAAAACCCAAGCAGCTCTGTTTTCAAAAAAGACCAGCACCGGTGAGCCAAACATCATGCTACCTGGAAGTGCTGTCACATTACAGAGTCAGTTGAACATCTTGGGGGTTACTGCAGAGACCAACATGTCTTGGCACAGTCACGTGGCAGATATTGCTAAAAGGGCGTCCCAAAAGCTTGGGGTGCTATTTCGTACAAGACATCTGTACACACCAAGCCAATTGCTGACACTCTACAAAGCCCAGATTCGACCAACTATGGAGTACTGCTCACATATATGGAGTGCA